GGGGAAGAGAGAGAGAGAAAAGAAAACCACTCTCTCTCTTCCTGTTAGGGCAACTGTATCATGGTACATGTATAGATTGCAATCATTTGACGAACATGTACTTGCTCCGTTCTAATTTATGTAGCACTCTTTCCTTTATAGTCGGTCCCAAAAAGAATGTCACCTTTCCTTATTTAGAAATAAATTAGCTTTAGAATTCCTACTTTACCCTTAATGAATTGATTTACAGCCACACAAATATTTATGACTTATTTCAGACCACAAGTTTCAAAAGTCATCCTTTTTTTTATATAACCGTGGTGTCCCGGCCAGCTTGCACGCACCTCGACTAATTCCACGGGCTACCTGCCACCTCCCACCAGTAACAAGTACCAGGTAACTCGATCCACCAAGGCTTGGACAAATGGGAAGAAATCACCAAGTGTTTTTTTCCTCCGCTGGGATTTGAACCTGAGACCTCATGGTTCTCACCCACCTCATTGACCACTAGGCTCAAAAGTCATCCTTTCTTTCTTAAACTCCCCACCAGTCAAACACCGCCACATAAATTGGGATGGAGAGAGTACAAAAACATATGAAGATTCAGAAGGAATACAAAAGAAATTCTCTAGTAACACGGACATATTATACCTATGTTTTATGTCAATTAATTCTGTCAAATTAACTTTAGAACAACAATGGGCGTCAAAAACTAAAATACCCAAGACATGAAAGAGAAATAAAGAAAATCCTTTTTGTGAAGGATTCTGGGAGTTAAAATACTAAACAGAATTCATTAAATGATTGAATAGGCAGCAATAGATGGCATCGAAATGATCTGGAGAGGAAAGGTATGCTCAAGATGCTTGTATCATGTCAAAGGTGAAAGGTAAACAAGAAAACTGAAGTACCATTTGTGGAGGATGAGACACGAGCAATTTGTGCAGCAATTTCAATATTACACTGTTTCTCCATCTCATAAAACGGTGCTGCATAAACAAAAAGATACAGAGTTTAAGCCAGAAGTTAAAACATTAAAAACCGGATCGATGTTGAGTAAGCATTACAGTGTTTCTTTTTCCAAATCTTATCTCGAGAAGACTCCTGGAAGATCTGGGATGAGAAAACTCCAAGCTGTCAACAAAGATAATGGATGAAGCACGTCATTTTCAATAGACAAAAATCTTCTTAACTACTAAAAACTCAGATTATTGTCACTGGAAGAATGGACTTCCGAAAACATTTTTAAAAAACTAAAAAGAGAAATAAAAAGCAAAGGGTAAGGGGAAAGGAAAACAATCTGCAGGATATGAATCGTATTAGAAGTTCCATCTCATTATCCCCGCTTTTGAAAGAATTCTACTTATGGCTATCCAAATATGTGCTAAAGTTTCAAATTTTAATAAAGAGATATATCCTGCAATTTTCTTTAGAGAAAGAAAAATATAGTAGATAAAAGGAGCTCTACAGAAGTAGAAGAAAAAACTTTTGAAATTTGTTGTGCCATTACCAGAATATCATATAAATTCAAAGCGTGTCAAATTCTCAATGGAATTTAAGCATTGCGTTCTTCAAACATAAGGCATATAAATATGCGACACATCTGAAGAAGATTAAAGTACTTCAACCGATTCTAGCAGCAGCAGAACTCATTGTTATTGATGATCATAAGGTGACATATCAAAACTCTTTTCTATAATCCATGCTGAGGACAAATGACATATTGTTGTAATTAATACCAAGTGATACGGATTTGACAATAGATAATCATCTTCCTGCCCAAACTCACCATCTTTGCCACTGCAAATTAGAAACAGGACTGTGAGTTGATGAAGCATGTTAAGATAGCATTTCCAAGCATGTTATGTGATGTGTGAACCAAAATCTAAAGTTTAAATTCCATCTTCTGAAGAACACAAGATTTAGAAACTCTAAAGGTGAGTAAATGTCTTAATACAGCTACAAACTGCCTCGAAGTTAAAACAGATAGGATTATTATTGTCGCACTAAGAATAGCTTCGCTTTCAACTTAGTAAGTACAAGGAAGTAGTCAACTATAAGTACGTACACTGCTATTTGATTTGAACAACAAATCAAATTTAACATAGATGCACCAGTCATAACCATCCGTTGTCTTATGTATCATATTAAAGTTCTTATCTGAGTTCGTAAATACAACTTTAATCGCAATCCTCAAGCATGATAAAAGGACTCTAGCAATAAAAGTTGGAAAAAGTTGTTGTACACTCTTTTTATAACCGAGAAACCCCCAAGGGCTAGTGGTGCACGGTTCGAAGCTTGGTCGGATAATTGGCCCGCCCCTCTACCCTTCTCCACTTCAATTTCAGCAAAGACACCAGTCCTAACCATCCATTGTCTTATGTATCATATAAGAGTTCTTCTCGTTGGTTCTATTAAATAATACAATTTTTTACCAGAATTCTTCAGCAGGATAAAAGCTGGTTGCATTTCAAAGTTGGACAACAACTATTGTACAGTTTTGGCATGAGTACTAAAGCATATTTTTACATCAATTTCGTTCCGGAGTAGGTATCAAATAGCAACTAGTACCTGTAAGCTACCATTCGAAGTTGTCTGAATGGCCATATATATACACCTTCTACTCTGATTTGTGCACCATCAACTCCATGTTCATTGTCAAAAACATCATGGAAAATTATTGCACCCTGTTGTGTACGACATGAAGTTAAATCAAGATAAAACCATAGAAATGTGCAATTTCTGAATAAAAAGTATCATCATCTGAGCAAGATAAAACGCCTGCTAAATATCACTTTTAATAGGTAATCTGCAATAGAGAAAATATATTGGACTTCAATTTTCAAGAACCGGGTGTTTCACCACTTACGCAAAACTCATCAAAAGATAGCAAGACATTACAATAACGAAGCAAAGCTAGAATCGGCAAGTACATCAGACTATTCATAGTAAGGTGTTGAGCTTACAGCACTATAATTCACTGGTTTAAAATTTGCAGGTATTTTTGGATAAGTTACAATTTGTTAAGTGATTACCAGGAAGAAATTTGCACATTCAACAAACAGTTATTAGTTAAGGGTATGATAGAAATGCTAGGACAAATAAAAAGATGAAGAACAATTCGATTACACCACTACCACCACAAGCTATAGATTAATAGTAGCAATAGGCATTTGTTCCATAATACTGCTGGGATGAAATACCAAAGTGATTGTGGGGAACTTTGGGTAAACGACTGATGCTGTGTAAGACTTCTTCAGCTAAATAGTAGCACAGTCGTTTTCATATGACGGTGTTTGAATGGATGCAAAGTATAAAATGTTAAGTTGATTTATGTACTATATTAGTGGTAGTTGGACAAAATATTAAGGAAATTTTTTACTAGTTAGTTTGATAAAGAACATCACATCAAAGTTCAAAATTTTGTATAGCTAAATGAATTTGAATTCTTGAAAGTTGTAAACAATACCTGGTATGACTTATGAGAGAAGCTCTAATAGAAAGAGTGAGTAAACTACCCAAAACATCTACTTAAAATTAAGTAAACATATTGGGACACAATAACGTATACAACTTTATTTTTTTAACAGGTCAGAGAGAAGTACTAACATGAAAACAACGGAAGTTAGCACAACAATTTGTAAAGAAATTCACTTATTTAATGATGATGGGACTACCTGAACATAATGTACACCAGTTATTTTTGTTGGATTACTTATCAACTCAAGGACCGAGTTGCCATTGGACTTCCTAAAATCAGGAAACCTGGAAGAGCCATTTGTTGAATCTAGGAATCTCCAAGACCCTGCAGCTCAAATGTCCAGAAAAAAGGTATTATTAGATTCAAGACAGAATCAGCAACCGAGTTTTAGTAATTGATATGAGCATGAGATTTTCCTTTATGTTGTGTTTGATGAGTTCCATTCAATCACTTACAAAATTGGCTATAAGTTCTTAGCCCAGTCGGCTTAATAAAATAAATAAGGCGTTATTTTGAAAGGTAGAACAACAGGAAAGCATTCTTTCAAACTCATATGTAATATGAGCAATGCACTAAAATATCATATTTATCGCTAACTTACAAACCTCTATAAGTTCCTGTTATATTCCAAGCAGAAAATGGCCCCAATTCATTTTCATCCTTTCTCACAAGAAGCCACTGCAACAAACAATAAGGATATGATTAAAGGTTAGGCAGAAACAAAAAGATGGCCTATTCACTTTTGAAAATGATGTTATCTTCAGGTTCCATGTTCAGATGCAGGACTAATATCCTTTCCAGAGTTCCATACTCGTAAATGAGCTCCAAGAAGTCATAACTGAGTAGAACAATTTCATATCTCATTGACTGAATGCATCCATTAGAATAATTTCATATCTCATTGACTGAATTTATCCAGTCATTTCATCATTTCATCATCCCTGTGGAGGACAAAATGCAGAAATCGAGGCTGAGATGGTTGGGGCATGTTCAGAGGAGAGACATAGATGTCCCGGTCAGGAGGTGTGAGAGGTTAACCATGGTGGGTCTGAGGAAGGGTAGGAGTCGGCCAAAGAAGTACTAGGGTGAGGTGATTAGGCAGGATATATTATTGCTCCAGCTTACCGAGGCCACGACCATCGATAGGAAAGGGTAGAGGTCGAGAATTAGGGTCGAAGGTTGACAGGTAGTCGTTAGTTTCTCTTAGACTTAACGATAGTACTAGTACTATTCTTGTATTTTCTTATTCCAGGTTCTTTATTATTACATGTGGTGTCATTCTCTTCCATTACCCTATTTCATTGTTGTTGTTATTGTTTGTTGCTTTATTTTCATCGTTCCTTGAGCAGAGGGTCTATCGGAAACAGCCTCTCTACCTTCACAAGGTAGGGGTAAGGTTTGCGTACACATTACACTCCCCAGACCCCACTTTTGGGATTACACTGGATTTATTGTTGTTGTTGTAGTATGTAAACACCAGCTCTTTTATTGGTGTCAAGTGTTGATTGGAGAGGCAGATATATTGGTAGTAGGCATAAACATGAACAGTTCCAGAGAAAGTTCTACTTTATTGGGGAGTTTCTCAATAAAATTAGACAAGGTAATACTCATAAGACCAAGTTCCGTTTTAAAAATAGATAAGTAAAAGGAGATTATTCCTTCTTAGCTCATATAATTTTGTTACCACATCTCCTCAATGTACAATGTCCATGATGTAAAGACATCCTTGCTATTATGCATGCTAAACTTACATTTAGTAAGATTCAAATAGTATAAAGCACTAAACCTAGCAGCTGCAGGTTAACACAAATAGCTAAAATTCCTCTCACCAGCCTATAGTTGCCGCACCATGCCCACATGCGACATGTGAAAGAAACAAGGAATAATGTTTCTTTTAAATGGTACAAATGTTGAAGAATTTTTCATCATATACTAGATATATGCATTATTTCTATCATCAGATGTTTCTCCAATACACTACTCAGGCTCTTCATGTTTTTATTGGAGTAATCATCAGACAACAGATTTTTATAGCATCATTCATGAATTGGCAAGTATACAAAACTTTGTTCTAATTTCACATTTCACCTAGTGTTATCAAAGGCGAAAAGCATAAAAGAACGTTACCATCTGTTGAGACTTCAAAGACAAAGTATAAATAAAGTGTGGGTTAGTCAAACGTTTCACCTTTATATCATAGGGTTTTTTTTCCTTATTTTTTAAATCTATGTCATATAAAGTTCCATCAATGTTATAAAACGGTTCAGCCTTTGACTGACATAAGGTCAAGTTAGCTTAGACTTAACAAGAATAAAATGAAAAGTGAAATTTGCTCCATTAATCAACCCAATCAAACTTGAAGCATATGAACAACATTAACCACATTACATCTGCTACACCCCCACCCCACCCCCAATATATGCTGGTCATCACTAGCTTATCCAATTAACAACAAAACCGCATTGCTTTGACCCTCATCAGTCTCTTCTTCTTTCCTATCAATCAGCTTTCACAAAAGCCCTTTCGAGTTTCGGCCTAAACTTCAACCTTTTTCTTTTCAATCAGAAGCCTAAGGTTAAACTTAGGGACAGAAAATATTTAACAGAAACTCAGTGCCACACACCAATGTCAGAACTTTCCCATCAAGAATTCCAACAATAACAACAACAACTAGCTGGGGTAACTATATGAATCCCTAATATCTGTTCCATTTCACTACAGCCCATTTTATAAATATCCAATGTCAAGACAGTACATAGAAGAACCAATAGTTCTTTTCTTGCTCGCCAGGAGCCAAAGATATCAATTCCATTAACCACATAGCTCAAGCTACTTAACAGAAGGAAAAAGCAATTTAACATATCAGCAGAAATTAAACCATCCAAAGTCTTTCGAGTACATTTTTAAACACTGCAAAACTACACCAGCTAGCTAACATAAATTTTGCACTTAATGTTAGCTAAATTAGTAAAGCTTCATTTCTTAATATGCAATTCAGTATTAAAGTAGCAAACTTCACGGCGAGATACTTTTACAACATTAACCAATCCTGTTTTAGAACAGCAACAACAACAATCGACGATCAATCAATCAATCAACTGTGGCTACGCGACAATCGTAAACTAGTAAGAGCAGTACTTATTCCACTATTAGGGCACATCTCACTCCAATAAAAAATTATTTGTACTTACAGGCAAAAAACAAAGAAGAACAATAGAATATAACTCCAAATACAAACCTCATCGCCCCACGATCGATATCTTTCCCTGAGAGGCCTGAGGCACATTACTGGACAAAACCCACCAAAGATGAACCATAAACTGAATAAAACTCTAAGCAAAACCCCATCATTTTTCCTCAAAAAGATCAAATTTTTAGCCACACCCATTTTAAGATCAATTCAAAGTCTTCTCCTTTAAGCAATTCTTGAACAACCCAGATGAAGAAATAAAGCCCATTACAGTTACAAAGAAGAGATATTTAAGAAAAAGAAATTAAAAGAAGAATTACAGAAAATGGGGGTTGCTTAAAGTGAAGTCCAAACAACAAAAATCAAGAAACCAATCAACTTCAGAGAAAATGAGAGCTCAACATAAACAGAATCATTTGGTTTGTTGATTTGGGATTTACCAAGAATGCCTTCACTGGTCAATTCTTGAACCAGAAACTAAGAAAACCCCACTTGTATTTTTTTTATTCAAAAACAGTTATAAGTAAACATTTATCCCAATATTCTATTAATTAATTAAATATGTTCTAACACATGGATAAATAACATGGGGATACGGGGGGCGGGGGATTCAGTTCTGCAGAAAGTCTATTTAAGACTAAGCTAAAGAGCATTTGACAATAGTCTTCTCCTAATCTTCTTGGTAAATATGGAGTCTTGGTTCAGTGGTGTGGTCCCGTGTGGATGATAGTTTGACTGGTGGGTATGAAGCATAAAGCTACTGCCAACAGTTATGTGGCATTGGCCATGGAATCTTCAACGATTTTCTAAAGATCATTCTGAACGGTTGTGATTGAGCTGTCACCGAATGAAAGGGATGGAATCTGTTTCCTTATCTCTTATATGTTGTTCTGGACAGACAAGTTGTGGGCGAAGTGCACAAATAGCCGTTCCTAGAAACCCCATTTAGAGAGAGTAAAAATTAGCACAAAGTTTGTAAAGTTTAGCCTCATTAGAATTCCAATTAGAGTTTTTTTTACCCGCCATCCCTTTTTAACTATTATTTTAAAAAATAGCATCATTTATTATTTATTTCATAAATAACACTTTTTTTTCATTATTAATATATTATCAAAATTAGCCTCAATATTTAATAAGTTAACTGACTCACTAATCACATGAAATACTTTTTTTGTCCATCTCCATTCTCTTTTTCCAACATTCATCTTCTTCACTCCATTTTTGAAAATCTTATGCATATGTGAATGCCACCTAAATTCAAGATATATTGATTTATACGTCTTTTACATTTTGTATATCAAGTATCACTTTAATTCAAAATGTATTTTTATGTATATAATTTGGTATATTTATTTGTGAAGTGTCATCTTATTTTAAGATATATTTTTAATGTATATTACAAATATATTTTATATGTCAAGTGCCATTTTAATTCAGAATGTACTTTTTATGTATATTTATATGCCATCTTAATTAAATTTAAGATATATATTTTTATTTATATTTCACATGTCTAAGTGTCATCTTAATTGAAGATGTATTTTTTGTATATTTTATATGTGTTAATTCAATATATATTTTTTTATATATACGTTTTGTATATATTAACATATATTATTATCGAAGTAAGATCTTTGTGTTAAGAAAGGAAGAAAGAAGGAAGAGAAAAACTTAAGAAAGATAATTAAAAAGAAAACGAATGGAACAAATTTAGAAAAATATATTGACTTCGGCATAAAACAAAATTAAGAAGATGAAGAAAAAGAAGGAAAGCTAATAGATAAAGAGAAAAAAGGCATGATTTTTGTATAAAGAATTATTGGCTTTCTATTCAAATTGCTTATGTTTACGGATTAATAATTAATATTCCTATTTTAATGGAACTGTGTGCTACAAATATAAATTTTTTCCTGCCACAACTGTAATATTGGGTTTTATGCTAATAATTTGTTATATTTCTTTTAAACTGTGACAGTTATGTAAAGTTCCCATTTGCTTAGTCATACGGATGACCTGGGATCGATTCCCCCCTCAATGTCTTCTGGGTTGAACATGTCGCACAGGGTTTGCCTAGTGAGATTTACATCTCATGTGTGGTTTGCAGGCTATTACACAGGGGAGGTTTACCCAGTGCGCACAAAGTGCTCACCCGAAGGGCAGAGATTATGACAGGGATTGTAGCGGCCGCTGGTTTCCACTCTTACCCAAAAAAAAAAAAAAAAAAAAAAAAAAAAAAATCATCCAATTAGTTACACTCCTCAAAATAGCTTCTAACATTTGGACTATGACACACTAAATTCTGTAATTAGAACGGTGTTTTTCTTGTTTTTCTTATCTGTATAATTAATCTTTGAAGCAACATGCATATGATTTTGACTTTCAGATTATATGTAATTTAAATCTCCACAAACGGCCAGATGTCATTATTGATAGATGTAAACAGAAAAAAATACAGTTCAATGGTCAATAAAAGCTACTACCTCACTAATTTATGAGATTTTAACGTATACACAAATTACACAGCTAAGACTTACCATATATTCCCAATGTAACTCAACGGTAATCTCATACATTCTCTCAATAAATACTGCTAATCTTCCACTCATCAAACCCCAGTTTTCTCTTTGTGGTCATTTTTGCAAATTTCTTCTTTTGGCTTCTGAACTTTCTACTTTTCCTAATGGAGTCTTATTGGTCACCTAGCTCTTTCTTTCTGATTTTTCTTGGCTTTATGTGCTCATGTGAAGCTAATACATTCTACGCCGGTGGCAAAAGTGGCTGGGTTTTAAACCCTTCTGAGTCTTACAGTCATTGGACCGAAAGAAATCGCTTTCAAATCAATGATACCATTAGTAAATAATCTTTTCCTCTTCTTTTTCTTCTTTAAAAAATAATAAGTACAATTATATCTCTATTTGCAGTGACAGAGTTGCATGTTATTCTTGAATTGAATCCGCTTTGTCAGTAAATTATACGGTAGAAATAGGTTAAAATCAAATAATTTGTATAAATATAAACTTTTGAATTTTCCTAACATAAAAGAGTTAAACTATTAGTGTAGGGGTAAAAATGGTTCGGAAATCGTTTTTGAATTCTAGGCCGGACATTCTTTTGTTTTCTTAAAGGGGTCTTTATATAAATAGCCTGTTATATTCACTATTTACTTTTCATACTCCATATACATCGATTATACATATATTATATGAACTATATATCCGTCCACTATTTTAGTTTAAGCGGTTGGATGAACGACTATTTATGCTGATACTTTTTTTTAAAATCTCCTTGTTAGAATTTCTGGCTCAGCGACTGTCTAGGTGTTTTAAATGATTTGACACTTGGTATTTCTTTTTTTCAAACTTGCAGTTTTCAAGTTCAAAATTGGGTCAGATTCTGTTCTTATAGTTGACATAGATGATTATTCCAAGTGCAACAAGGACAAGCCAATTCGTGAACTAAAACATGGTGATTCAAAAGTCAAGTTTTACAGATCAGGCCCATTTTATTTCATCAGTGGACATGAAGATAATTGTGAGAAGGGCCAGAAGCTTAAAGTTGTTGTGTTATCTCCCAACCACAAAGCCCACAATGCCTTGAGCCCAGTCTCTGAGCCCATTGGGCCCGTTTCACCAGCCCCGGCTCCGGCCCAGTCTGCTGCAGGGTTTAGTGTTAGTCCAAGTGGTTTTGTTTGGGGCTTTAGTTTGATAATCGCGGCATATTTCTGCATCTTGGTCTAATTAATTCTTTCAGTTATTTTTTTTATTGATTCTTTCAGTTAAATGTGTTTTGAACAAAATGGTATATTGAAGCGTCATTGGTGTATTCTGAAAGATGTTGAGAAAAGCAAAAACTGGAAAAAAGGATAATTCGAACTTTTTAACTTTGGGTTTACTAAAAATTTAGAACATTTGTTTATCATCTTGTCTTGAAGTAACAATAGTAAAATAATATTTTTGTTAAAAGAATATAGTCCAACTATATGTCAAGCCACGCTAATAGTAAACTATAAATAGCTAATAAATTTTGAATTTCAATTTTGTTAGGACTATGAAATAATTGGTCTTTATTACGTTATATGCTTAGCAAAATTGCATTAATCTTTTACTTATTTGACGAATGTTGTGGATAGTTATAATCATGTTAATCATGAATGTAATCGTCTCCTACTGTATTCTAGATGATAGATGAATTAACTTTATTTATAACGAGTGAAAATGAGACATGATGACCAAATAATGATAAATACTTGCCCCTACATGGGTGTTTACATCTAACTAAACAGTTAATCATAAGAATTAACAAATCAAAATGAAAATGCATATTACTTAACTATAGTTAAACATTAAAAAGTTCATATACAAAACATGTGTTTTACATATTTATTGGCGTGGTGTAAGACGTGACCAAATAACGTCTTTTTTTAAAAAAAAACTATGCCTAAGCGGAAGAACAAGAAAAGTTGTAATTTGTTTAGTGAAAAATAATTTTGCGGACGTCAAGGAGGTTGAAGGCTCTGAAAAACATAGCATGTATAGAGGAAATGGTCGTGTGTTATGTTGAGTTGACTCGCCTTTACGAAAATTTGAAGAAACCATGTGTTTTGCCCTTTAACATGAAGCCTCTTTTTCTTTTTTGTTTTTTCCTCAAAAAGATGAAACCTCTTGTTAGGGCCCATCTGGACATAAAATTTGATTGGAAGATTTTTTCAAAAAAATTTCACTTTTTTCGAAATCAACGCTTGTTCATAAAATTTCAAATTTTCACCTGAAAATGCATTTTGGAAATTTTCGAAAATTTGAAAAACTGAAAAAAAAAAAATTCAAAATTTTCACTCAAATCACTCACAAAAACTTCAAAAACAACCCAAACTGAAATTTATGTCCAAACACAACTCTAATTCTAAATACCATTTTCACTTGAAAAATTTTTTCACAATTTTTTTTCGAATTTTACAATTCTTATGTCCAAACGCCTACTTAGTGCGAAATAAAATGTAGTACAACCAGATCTATTTATAATAATTATTACTGTAATATATCTATAATAATATTTGACATTGAAATCTCATTTGACTAATTGTTATATACAAAAATTATTCAAAAAGGCAATATTTCATTTCTTAAAGTTATAAAAGATAAAAAAAATTATTTAAATTTAATGAAAATATTTTTAATTACCAGGCACGTATCGATATAATATTCTTTGTCAAAACTAATGTACTATAATACCTATTTCAACATATTGGATCAAAATACTAGACCTATTATGGTTAACTTAGACTTATAAATTCTATTTCAATATGTGGCTTTATGACAACAAAGCATTACAAGTGTTTTCTTTTAATTTATGAAAATAAATGACTTGCAATAGAAGAGAGGTAATTTTTACAAATGTTACTTAATCCTATCTTAATGTCAAGAATTTTTTCTGACTCGATAGAAAATCTTATAGAAAATTTTATATTGAAAAACTTTGTCTTTCATACCCCGCAATTATAAACCATCCGTGCATGGATAATTCATTTCAGAGACTAGAGGTCAAAAATTAAGGAATTCACCTTATTGCTAAATAATTTCATCTTGAATGTCCCTAACGTTGTAAATCATTGTCGTATTAATTGACTTGCGAACGTTACTTTATTATATTTCTATTTTCAGAATTTATATGCTACTAAGACGACAAAAGTTCAGAATTAGAGTACGAGAATGAAGACATTTAAATGAGTTTGCGGCGAATAAGTAGAGAAAAAAAATCTTACGAGATTAATAAGAAAATTAAACCGAAAATACATATTGAACAACAATTGTAAAATTCAAATTTTAAGTCTTAACTTAATTTACATCTCACGAAAAAAAAAAACAATTAATTAACAAAAGCTAGCACACACTTCGGAATGATCACTATGACTACGCCTCAGATCTACCAATCCAGGCCGCAACAAAAGGAAATAAAAACACGAAAACAAAAATACAAGACTATCTCCTTATCGAACAACTTGTGTAGGTAGATGTCACTGTACCGTGGAACAGACGTGACAAAATAAGACCCTTTTCACCTCCTAGTACAAGAAAAGGATCTAACTAACTACTCTTAACCAAAGTTCTGAACAAATTAAACAATTTCTTTTTAATAAAGCAGTCGAGAGATTCAAGAGTTACTCCTAGCACAGCGTGTAATTTGACTGCAACCACGGCGATAAGGATTAACTCTCTGTTGAGAATGACAATTGTAATAAGACGCACCTCGTACATTACAAGGTATATTATTTCTGGACATTGCTGCATAACTAATATGGCCATTTTGTCCTCGTAAAATTCGACGACTAATATCGGACTCCATCATCATTTCTTCTTCCTCCTTTATGCAATTTCCAATAAGGCCATTGCATTTCCTCGTTGAAGCTGCAGTTGCATGGCCGCCATGCATAATCGACAGTTGATCGAAGTTCTTGTACAGATTCTTGAAATCATTATAAGACGATGATATTGGATTAATTGTCATGGCTAGTGAGAAAAAGAAAATTATACATAGGCGGAAATCCATTTATTTTGTTGGGGGGTG